AATCTTGCTAACCAAGGTGTTCTGTCAGGTCCTCTTCTGGGTTGATGTTCTCCAACCTTGGGCCGGTCCCAAGCCCAAATGAAAAAGGAGGAGGTGAAGCAGTAACAAGCTCAGCTCAGCTGGCTATGCTGATAGTACCCTGTAAGGACTCTTGATCCAGTGATGCAGGATGAATCTGTACTCCATGTTAGGAGCAGCTGTACATGCCATCTGTTACTCATGTCAGAGGTGGCCTTTCATATTGGAGCTAAGTTGGCCTGCTACTGAGTAATGCTTCCAGTCTTAATGACAAAGGCAGATTCATTCTACTTCCCACAGTCATGATGGTTGTCAACTCTACAATCTTGATTCCCTAATGTGATTGAGTAGTGGAGATAAGAAAGAAGAAGAATATGTCTGCAAGAATGCTAGGCAGATAAATATGTGATCTGGAGTAAGCTGTCGCAATTATGGCAGATTCTGTAGGATTTTGTCAACCTATATAGGTAACCTCATTAAAACAGCTTCTTTTATAACAGAAACTTGGTTCTAACTTTGTAATTCTGAGGTCCCAAGTTCTAAGTCCTAATTTTTTTTAACAGTAGTTATAACAACATAAGAGAGTTTTGTCCCAAGAGATTTTATAGGGAGGTTTGATAGAAATGGTCTCTAAGATTCAAAGAACACTTATTAGAGGATTTGATCTGGTCACCTAACATATTGTTGTGTGGGAGCCTGGAAGTCACAGGGCCGTACTAAGGGATGTAACTTTTTATTGGTGCCAGGGTGGGGCTGGTCCGGGGATGCATCTTGTCTGTAGCTTCTTGGCACTCGGGTCGGTCCTCTGTAGGGTCGGTCGGTGCGGGTCGGGCCGTCTTCATTTTGCGTTGATCCAAAAATGGAACTTCCGTCCAAATTCTCTACAAAATAAATAAAGAGAGCAAGCAAGAAAGTTGGTCGGTGGTCAAAGTGCAATTTCTTGCCGAACTCTGTTGTTCAATGACTCACAGAGAGAGTTTAAAATTAATTAAAATTTTAATTCAAATTTTAAAAAATTTCAAAATCGTGAGCCTTGCTAGTTAAGATAGCGGGCGTGTGTCAGTCGCGCCCACGTGTCCGGCGTTCAGGGTCGCGCCGTGGTTACACAACAATATATAGAGCATAGACACACACACGGACTAGCTATCAGGAGGAGGTCCCACCAGCTCCTTGAGGTCGTGACCAGAGGAGAACACAGGTCCGGTGGAGGAGATGACAATACATCGCAAGGAGTCCAGGTCTCGTGTCCGGTCTGCGTGTATGGCTTCCATCATGGCTAAGGAGAGGGCATTCCTGGACGCACCAGTCCGCTCGAACTACGAGGTCAACAGTTATAAGTCTCTCCTCACTTTCATCTCTGTCTATAATGATAAGGCACAATTTGGATTATAGATTATAAACACAAGGTAATAAGACCAAATCCAAATAAATAAATAATGTGTGACGTTTCAGTAACAGCGTTGTTACCATCTTCAGACAAAAGTACTGAATGATACTGAATGAAGTACCAAAATAATTCAGTACTTTTGTCTGAAGATGGTAAAAACGCTGTTACCGAAATGTCACACACTATTTATTCGGATTTGGTCTTATTACCTTGTGTTTATCTCTGTCTATACTTTCACCTAGGTGAGAGAATTGTAAACAAGGTTCGTGTAAACAACAAAAGCTTTTATTGAAGAAACCTGTCCCATACAGGATTCTCCCAGATGGGTAAAGAAGTAAAATAACAGGTATATACAGAAAATAGAGATTAAGATCTACCTTTCTTCAAGTTGGATCCATCATCTGTTTTACGCCTTTTTGTTTATGCTATTTTCCAGAATTTGTGAAAAGCTTATGCATTGGGTTTGCTTTTTACTACAAATCCAAATAAATAAATAATGTGTGATGTTTCGGTAACAGTGTTGTTACCATCCTCTCATTTTGTACTTTTATCTGATGATGGTAACAACACTGTTACCGAAATGTCCCACATTATTTATTTAATTGGTCTTATTACCTTATATTAAGAGGGGATCGGTCTAAACCGTTGGTTTTCGACCGCTATGACCCGGGTTCGATTCCCGCATTGGGCACTTTTTCTGATTAAAACATAAAATGCTCCAATGGCCCAAAAGTCCAACCCCACCAGCGAGTGCAAGTAACCAAAACGCGGCTCTGGCACATTTGTAAGTGCAAAGTCGAACTGCTTTTCACATGTGTAGACATATGGTGCACTTACATTAAAAGCAGTCGCCAACTTCTACCCACCATAATTATCATGGCCTGTACCATGTGTACTAGGGATAAGCAAAAAAAAAAAACCTTATATTAATTAGATTAACATTAATCTGTGCATTGATTTTTACATTTTTATCGTGTAACGGAAGATTTAATGGACCTAAAAAAGACCACAATGTCTCATAAAGATATCAAATATTGTCAAGATTGTAGTTTATAACATGTAATAAATTGTAGATTTCTGACAACCATAATGTGATCAAATCCTACATTGGACATTTTTTTCTGAATAAAAAAACTGTTCCAATGGCCCCTGATTCTTGCAAATGTCTAATCCCACCAGTGAGTGCAAGTAACCAAACGGGGCTCTGGCACATTTGTAAGTGCAAAAGTCAAACTGTTTTCCACATGTGTAGACATGTGGTGCACTTAGAGTAAAATCAGTTGCCAACTACTATCTACCATGATTATCATGGTAGATTGTGTACTAGGGATTAATAAAAAAGATCCCACTGTATATTCAACAAGGTTGCCCAACCACGAAGATACTTGTTTGTTGTTGTCATGTCCAATGAAGAGCCTCAGGTGTCTCCATGCAACTCTATCACAGCAGCAGCAATGTCCACTATCTTGGGTGTGTAAAGCTGCTGCTCTAGGTCCATGTCAATTTTCTGTTGTTGACGTGTCCAATGAAGAGCCTCAGATGGCTCCATTCATCTCTATCACAGGCAGCAATGTCCACTATCTTGGGTGTGTAAAGCTGCTGCTCTAGGTCCATGTCAATTTTCTGTTGTTGTTGTCGTGTCCAATGAAGAGCCTCAGATGGCTCCATACATCTCTATCACAGCAGCAATGTCCACTATCTTGGGTGTGTAAAGATGCTGCTCTGGGTCCATGTCAATTTTCTGTTGTTGTTGTTGTGTCCAATGAAGAGCCTCAGATGTCTCCATACATCTGTATCACAGCAGCAGCAATGTTCACTATCTTGGGTGTGTAAAGCTGCTGCTCTAGGTCCATGTCAATTTTCTGTTGTTGTCGTGTCCAATGAAGAGCCTCAGATGCCTCCATACATCTCTATCACAGCAGCAATGTTCACTATCTATGGTATGTAAAGCTGCTGCTCTGGGTCCATGTCAATTTTCTGTTGTTGTTGTTGTGTCCAATGAAGAGCCTCAGATGTCTCCATACATCTCTATCACAGCAGCAATGTTCACTATCTATGGTATGTAAAGCTGCTGCTCTGGGTCCATGTCAATTTTATGTTGTTGTTGTTGTGTCCAATGAAGAGCCTCAGATGTCTCCATACATCTCTATCACAGCAGCAGCAATGTCCACTATCTTGGGTGTGTAAAGCTGCTGCTCTAGGTCCATGTCAGATGGATGTTATATATACCTAATATAAAGATTCTTCACTTTGATTTAATCATTAAGGACTCAAGAGTTTGTTTCTTTTCTTATTTCTCTGATTTTTCTAGCTTTCTGGCTAACATGCTTGTAGTTGTACTTCTGGATCTCCGTGTTGAAGGGCATGTTAGCCATAAAGCTCAAGAAATCAAATAAATAAGAAACAAAATTCTTGATTCCTTATTGATTAATTCAAAATGTGTGCCTAATATGTAAATATTCATAGATAGAATTAAAGGATTACTCTGTGGAGTAACTCTGCCTTTGCCGGTCCCAAGTCCTGATGAAAAAAGAGGAGGGGGAGCAGTAACAAGCTCTCTAAAAAACCTGGATTCAGCTGGCCAGGCTGATAGTACCCTGTAAAGGCTCCTAATCCAAGGATAATCCAATGAGCAGCATTTGTACTCCATGTTAGGAGCGGCTACACATGGCGTCTGTTCCTCATGTCAGAGGCAGCCATTTCTTTTGGAGCTAAGTCAGCCTGCCACTGAGTAGTGCTTCCAGTCTTAATGACAAAGGCAGACACATTCTACTTCACCCAGTCATGATGGTTGTCAAACAGACAACATCAAGGGTCACAACTTGATACCCTAATATGATTGAGTGGAGATAAGAAAGAAGAAGAAGAAGACGGAACAACGATAGACAACAGGAAGTTTGTGTAACTTTTTAACATGATGTATGAATAAAGTTTTTAATCCTAAACTTGTGATGTTATGGATCATTGATATATAAAACAATGCTAACACAAATCTACATAGATTCCCTCCATGTTACAAACCTCTTCTTGGGATTGTTGAGTATAATTCTCCGGACTCCTTCATGGTCCGTAGTCTGGGTGAGACTGAGTCTACTGGAAGTGGTTTGGAGTCCTCGGCCCACAACCTGGCAACACAACCACCCATCTCACTGAGTAATCTGATTCTTTTATAAGTAAAACCTCACATAGCTACCATAACACAAGGTATAATAAGACCTGTAATAAGATAATAAGACATGTCCTTTATAGAGAGGTGTCCTCTAGCATGAGTGCCCTCTCATGAAGGTTCTATTGTACCATTATATGAATGTAATTCGTTGATACAATTTAAATACAATAAAGGGGGTCAATGGAAGGGTGGTGTCGAAAACCAACGGTTTACACCACCCTTCCATTGACAAGAATCAGGGGCCATTGGAGCATGTTTTTTTTTTTCAATCAGAAAAAAAATGCCCAATGCGGAAATCGAACCTGCGTTGTAGCGGTCGAAACCAACGGTTTACCGCTACAACGCAGGTTCGATTTCCGCATTGGGCATTTTTTTTCTGATTGAAAAAAAAAAACATGCTCCAATGGCCCCTGATTCTTGCAAAAGTCCAACTCCACCAGCAGGTGCAAGTAACCAAACAGGGCTCTGGCACATTTGTAAGCACAAAGTCGAACTGCTTTTCACATGTGTAAACATGTGGTGCACTTACAGTAAAAGCAGTCGCCTACTTCTACCCACCATGATTATCATGGCCTGTACCATGTGTACTAGGGATAAGCAAAAATGTATACATATGTGACAATATAATAAGGTGGGAAGAGAAATAATCACACCACAATTTGGAAGAGGAACCCAGGCAACCAGAGAGAGAGAGAGACGAGACAGGCACAGCCGGGCGGCCGTTTGTGTCTCACACAATCCCCAACTGTCTTAAAAGTCCAGAGGTTCCAAGTAACGGGCCCCAGTAGTCGCCCCTTGGAATGTCGCTGATGTCTAAAGTGGCCAGTCCTTATCCACCCGTCTCTCTCTGGGTTTACTGTAGGTTTGCTTTATTATTTCTGGAAGAGTATATATTATGACATACATGTGGAAATATGATGAGGTGGGGAGAGAAATAAGGGCACCACAAGTTTGGAAGAGGAATCCCAGACAACCAGAGAGAGAGACGGGGGAGAGAGCCGGGCCTGCCACCGCTGAGCGGCCGTTCGTGTCGCACACAATCACCAACTGTCTTAAAAGTCCCAAGGTGTTAACGACGGGCCCCATTTGCCGCAGGCTCCACTCCTGGTGGTGCCCTTCCGTCAATTCCTTTAAGTTTCAGCTTTGCAACCATACTTCCCCCGGAACCCAAAAACTTTGGTTTCCCGGAAGCTGCCCGCCGAGTCGTTTAAGGAACTCAGGCGGATCGCTGGTTGGCATCGTTTATGGTTAGAACTAGGGCGGTATCTGATCGCCTTCGAACCACTACCTTTCGTTCTTGATTAATGAAAACATTCTTGGCAAATGCTTTCGCAGTAGTTCGTCTTGCAGCGGTCCAAGAATTTCACCTCTAGCGCCGCAATACGAATGCCCCCGTCTGTCCCTCTCAATCATTACCTCGGGATCCGAAAACCAACAAAATAGAACCGAGGTCCTATTCCATTATTCCATGCACCAATTTCCAGGCACCAGCCTGCTTTGAGCACCCTAATTTTTTCAAAGTAAAATTGCCGGAGAACCCGATCAACCGGTAAAAGCCAACCGGGCCCACCAACGTGCTGTCGGCCCCAACGATAGACGCTTTGCAACGCATCGAAGGGAGCGCGACTGAGATCCAACTACGAGCTTTTTAACCGCAACAACCTTAATATACGCTATTGGAGCTAGAATTACCGCGGCTGCTGGCACTAGACTTGCCCTCCAATAGATCCTTGTTAAAAGGTTTAGAGTGTACTCATTCCAATTACGGAGCCTCGTTAGAGTCCCGTATTGTTATTTTTCGTCACTACCTCCCCGTGCCGGGAGTGGGTAATTTGCGCGCCTGCTGCCTTCCTTGGATGTGGTAGCCGTTTCTCAGGCTCCCTCTCCGGAATCGAACCCTGATTCCCCGTTACCCGTAACAACCATGGTAGGCGCATAACCTACCATCGAAAGTTGATAAGGCAGACACTTGAAAGATGCGTCGCCAGTGCTAAGACTGAGCGATCCGCCATAGTTATTCAGAGGCACCACGACTATCGGAGTTGCCCCCGTTTGGTCTTGGTCTAATTGGTCTTCTTTCTTATCTCCACTCAATCATATTAGAGTATCAAGTTGTGACCCTTGATGGTGTCTGCTAAACACAAGGTAATAAAACCAAATCCAAATAAATAAATAGTGTGTGGTAAGGACAAAATACTCAGGAGATAAGTTTCTTCATTCACAATGAAGAAACTTATCTCCTGAGTATTTTGTCCTTACCACGCATGTAATTGGGAAGATTTTACCTCGTTTAGAAATAAATAGTGTGTGACGTTTCTGTAACAGTGTTGTTACCATCTTCAGACAAAAGTGCTGAAAAATGCTGTTACCGAAACGTCACACACTATTTATTTATTTGGTTGGTCTTATTACCTTGTGTTTATAATCTATAATCCAAATTGTGCCTTATAACTTATCCAAGTCTAATACCTTGAAGGCTTCTTGGCTAAAAGATTGTATTTCATTTTGAGTTAACCACTGCACACGCACAGTCACTAGCACACACGCACTAGTCATCAGGTACAAGGAGTTAACCCACTGTTGATTATATCATGGTCGTTCTTGATCTAACCTCTAACCTGACTTTAATTGTAAACAAGAGAATATGAGAACCCTTTTAAAGACAACATTTCAAAATAATAACTAACAATCTCTTAGTTACAAAAAAAATAATATTAACCTTATGGAGACCAAGAGGTGTTAAATTGCGAAAGATGCTTGTGAGCATTATTATTTGAAAATATATTTTGAAATTTAACGCGCGAAATAAAAAATGATAAGTGTCCTTTAACGTGTAGAAAGAGATAACATTTACTCTTTGTCAAATATCTAACTTGAGAATGTAAACAAAGAACCACAGGTATACTGAAGATATTTTATCAGTGACTTTTTTTTTTTTTTAACTTAAGTACAACTAGCCCCCCACCACTCCTCAGACTTTCTTTGGACATTTCTAAGAGCGTAAGAATATATTGTATCGAAATATTTATTATTCTATGAAAATATTTTTTAATTTCGATATTTGTATTTGATACACTGTAAAATTTTTCTCTACGCCTCTCAGATATAAAAGCACTTGTGCTCGTGGTCAGGAGATGCCTTCTTTATTTTTAGATATTTTATTAGTTTTAATTTAGTTTTACAATAAATAAATTGCCGTGTCATTCTATGGTTTGTCTTTCCTATATTTCTATTTTACAATATTAAAGCATTTCAGGGGAATTTTTTTTTTATATAAACCTAAGTTGCTTTAGTAACTAATTTAAGGCATTTTCATTGTTGTTACCTTTATTAACTGTTTTCAAATATCTATATGTACAAAATCGGGCGCCAGTAGCTGCAGAAAAGCAGATCATAAATTTATTCATCTATGGCAAATGCAGAGACCTAAAGCTGTACCGCTAACAAAAAGTGCTAAATGTTGGGAAAAAAAGAAGAATAGTAAAACAATGATCTTGAAATACTTTTAGACTGACAACACTGTAATATAAAAACAAGAACAAAGGAGTGTTTTGTTTTGTTTTACAAAATTAGTAATTGTAATGTAAATTGTTAAATGTTCTTTTCTCTCTCTCTTTGAAAACAATAAATTTAAAATACTTTCATAAAAGGTAAAATCGCCTAATTCTTTAAAACCACTTCAGCTGTAAGTAAACTTGTTATTTGTTGTTTTATTGTCTGAAACATAACAGATTCCCAACACTAAAGGGATTTAAATTTGGTTTAAAAAAAATATTTAAAGACTAATAAAAACAGGGGCATCTGAGTTTATCTCGGTGCTGGTGGGGTCAAGTCAGCTATCATGGGTCATGTGGCTCAATCACAGGGAAGGCGCGTCTGAGTCCACCTCAGACTCTGGCTTGGTGTTGTCATGGCTGAATGCATCAGGCTCCACCTACGCCTCACAATCGCCATAGATTTTCAGCTTAGGTGGGAAAGTGTGATACATAGTTAAGTTTAGGTGGGGTTCCTAGTAAAACCTGGTATACAATAGTCACGAGGGGGGGCCTAACATGGCTACTCTTACGCTACAAGAACCTGTTTTATTAAAGGGGGGAGATACATCTGCTTTGTTTTTATGTTTTTTGTTAGTTTATGGTTATTGAAACCAAGTTTTAGTCATCAGGTGTCTCAAGAAACTTAGAATTATTCCATATTTATACAGAGATAAGATCAAAGAGATCTGAAAATTACCTATATATTATATGAGTATTACTAGTCCAGGGAAACTTCAATCAGGAAACAACAGACAGAGAGAACTAACTTAATCAGTCATTATTAAGTTGCGCAGGGCATCTATTCTGCAAACATAACCAACAGCGTTTGAAAATAGGATTTTGATACTCATTCTGTACTGATATTGCTTTATCACTGGTTGCGCCAAATTATTCGTCGTTCTAGTCTTAAAAACTATTTTATTACAAGTGTTGCCTTTCTCTCCCTCTTGACATGTGTTTACTTCAAGTATATAAGCCAATATTTACAGTCAAACATTATTTGTAAGCATTGCCTATTTTTTACTTGTATCAACCTCCCCAGTCAAATTCATTCAAGTTTTTCTAAGCCTTGCTTATATTTTAAAAATAAATATGCAAAGGCGTTTGATACGCAGATATGATTTTCGGAAAACAAAGGTTTTTTTAAAACAAGTAAGTATCTTAGAAAAATGCCTTAAATTTGATTTTGCTTCTAATGTGGGAATAAGAAGATTAAGGATATATAAAATTTAAAAGCAGGTTAGAAATAGATTACTAATATATCAATGGAGATGAATATTTTCTCTTTACAAAATTTGCAAAAAAAAAAAAAAAAAAACGAAAAGAGATCTTTCTATATTACAAATAATATATTTATATATTGGCAATCCCATGAAACAAGCATCTATTTAATAATTATTAATTAAATACTAGTAAATTCTAATTTTATAATATTTTTTGTTCCAATATAAGTGGATTTAATTTAGTTTAATTTAAAATTGTAAAAAAACAAAAATTTGTAAAAAATATATTTTTTTGCTAAAAGTTATTTTAAAATAAAATACAAAAATATTATACAATATAAACTTTATAATTCTATTTTTAATATTTATTTTACTTTCAAAAGCCCTAGTCTCTTATAATTAACTATTTTTTTCAGAATACGAAATAATATTTTTCTATGAATTAAAAAATAAATGAGCGCTAGAAGAGTAAATGTATATACCAATTAGAATTCTGGCTTCATTGTATTTGTGTCTATTTTATTTTTCTGTTTTGCCGGGCGTAAATTAATATTTGTATGTTTATTTGAAGAATTATAAAAGATGGCTCTACAAAATGTGCGTCATCAACTTGCATCTTTGGTTAGCTTAGGGGGCAATCCCAAAGATCAAGCTGATAGATATCGAGCAATTTTGGAAACTATTGTTAAAACTCCAAGTGAAGAAGAGCTTACAGAAGGTTTGAAATCATTTGTCGAAGCTATTGTTAACGAAGGGGTAAGTTTAGTTATTTCACGCCAGCTCTTATCAGAAGTTGGTACCCACCTAACAAAAATAGCAGATAATGTTTCTAAAAATGTTTCCCATTTTACCTTAGATAAAGTACAACCCCGAGTTGTGTCTTTTGAAGAGCAAGTAGCAAGTATTCGACAACACCTTGCTGGAATTTATGAAAAAAATCAAAGTTGGAGAGAAGCAGCAAGTGTTTTGGTTGGTATCCCATTAGAAACTGGACAAAAACAATATTCTGTTGATTACAAACTTGAAACCTATCTTAAAATTGCTCGGCTTTATTTGGAAGATGATGACCCAGTACAAGCAGAAGCTTATATAAATAGAGCTTCACTTCTCCAAGCTGAATCTAATAATGAACAATTACAGATTTATTACAAAGTCTGTTATGCTAGAGTACTTGACTTTAGGCGTAAATTCATTGAAGCCGCTCAACGCTACAATGAATTATCATATAGGACTATAATTCATGAAGATGAAAGAATGACAGCTCTAAAAAATGCACTTATCTGCACAATTTTAGCATCAGCAGGCCAACAAAGATCAAGGATGTTGGCTACACTGTTTAAAGATGAACGTTGCCAACAACTTCCAACTTATGGAATTCTGGAAAAGATGTACTTGGATCGCATCATTAGAAGGACAGAGTTGGAAGATTTTGCAGCCATGCTTCTGCCTCATCAGAAAGCAACAACATCCGATGGATCAAGTATCTTGGATAGAGCAGTGATTGAGCATAATCTGTTATCAGCTAGCAAGCTCTATAATAACATCACTTTTGAGGAACTTGGAGCCCTACTGGAGATTCCACCATCAAAGGCAGAAAAGATAGCCTCCCAGATGATCACAGAAGGCCGGATGAATGGATATATTGATCAGATTGACTCCATAGTACATTTTGAAACCAGAGAAGTTCTCCCAGCCTGGGATAAACAGATTCAAAGCCTATGTTTCCAAGTGAACCACATCATTGAGAAAATCTCCCAGAATGCTCCCGAGTGGGTTTCTTCAATCTTGGAAGAACCAATGATTCACTGATTGTAAGTAGCAAGCTTGTATATAAGGGGATTCTTCTCTGCATCAATCTCTTCTCCCAAAGGCACTCGCTGATTGTTACAATGTTGTTGCCCTTTTTTTTTTTTTTTTTTTAAAAACCCCACAATTTTCTTTCTAATCTTTATTATTCTATGAAGAAAAAAAAATTTCTTTCTTTATTATTCCCCCTTTGAAATAAAGGTCATCATCATTCCTTCATTCCTTTATTGAAAATGTAAAAAAAAAAAATTAATAAATTTATGTGAATTGATGTTGGTTTGGAATCCATGTAACATCTACTCTTAGATTGAAGTGTGTTGTTATAACTTGGCAGATCTGGATAGAACACTGCCTTTGATAGACAACATAATTTTATTGACATCTGATAAAGCACAATTTGGATTATAATTACAAGAAAATAAGACCTAATCCAAATAATTTAATAGTGTTTGACGTTTCGGCAACAGCATTGTTACCATCATCAGACAAAAGAATGAAAAAATCTATTAAATTATTTGGATTAGGTCTTATTACCTTGTATTTATTGACATCTGAAAAAGCACAATTTGGATTATAGATACAAGTAAATAAGAGCTAATCCAAATAAATTAATAGTGTGTGACGTTTCGGTAACAATGCTGTTACTGAAACATCGCACACTATTAAATTATTTGAATTAGGTCTTATTTTCTTGTATTTATTGACATCTTGTCAATACATGCAAAGTCTGCTCACTATTGTTTTAAAATGAAATTATATATAGTTATCTACACATAGTAAAGCCATGTATAAGAAATTTCTTTTCCTCCAATTTACCCAGACTAATCTATTTAATAGCTTTATTGTCTTATTTTATTTTTATTTATTGTCTTGTATATAAATTCCATATTACCAATAACAAGGCTTATTACTGGTACTATTACTGTTATTCATGCATGTACCCCAAATTTCTACTCGGAGAACCTGTATTTAAATATATATGAAAAATAGAACAAAAATGAATTTGTTCTTGGATCAGGTAGATAAATTAAGAAAAAAGGCATTTCCTGATTGTGAAACTAAAAGAGTTGCTGATGGCTTGTGCCATCTATCAAAATAAATATAAAATAATTGTTGATTTTTAATTATTCCAGAATTGGCCAAATACCGGTTCTTGATTAATCAAGAAAAGCTAACCACATATGTGTTTTGGTCTATTATATATGTGCAATCAATATGTACATGGTGCCTCGACCACCGCTGCAGAGTTTGGTGGAGAATCGCCAGCGGGTCTCCAGCGACACCACTGCCTTTGATAGAGGATCATGCGATGTAAACAAACAACAGCATGGGTTATATTTTCACATGATTATAGATGTCATAAGCTACCAGAATGTCACATGATTAGCTGTGAGGGATGGTCACAACAGATCTTTCTTATCTCCACTCAATCATAGCAGGGTATTAAGCTTGTAAAGCTTGAGATCATGACTGGGTGAAGTAGAATGAGTGTGCCTTTGTCATTAAGACTGGGAGCACTACTCAATGGCAGGCCGACTTAGCTCCAAAAGAATGACATGAGGAACAGACGCCATGTGCAGCCGCTCCTAACATGGAGTACAAATGCTGCTCATGCTGTATCCCTGGATTAGGAGTCCTTACAGGGTACTATCAGCCGGGCCAGCTGAGCCCAGGTTTTTTAGTGAGCTTGTTACTGCTCCTCCTCCTCCTTTTTCATCCGGGCTTGGGAACCGGCAAAGGCAGGTCAATCAAATTTGAAAATAGTTGTCCATATACAGTAAAACCCCGCTATAACGAACCCTGGATATAACGAACCTTCCCTTATAACGAACCCACGCCGATTCCCAATTCCATTCCATTGAAAATACCATCGTTATAACGAACTTTGCGATTTTTAGAATAACGAACTACCCCTATAACGAACCAATTTCGGGTCCCAAAATGATAAAAATCTATTAAAAATACTATGCTTATAACGAACTTAGAATTGTAATTAAAAAAAAAATTAAAAAACAAAATTTTGAGCATGTTTAAAGCTCGCGGATCGCGATTTCAAAACAATAAATTTAGCAGCATTGTTTGTTTGATTTTTGCACTTTATTTTTGCTGTATGTTGTATGAATTTTTACACATTATACTTTTTATTAATTAGAATATCTTTGCATCCATTAAATTTGAAATATAAAAAATGCAAATGGCTTCCAAAATGAAGAAAACAAAGGCATTTTAAAAACAAAAGCATTATTTCATAAAAAAAAAAAAAAAGGCCATTTACAGAACTTTTCAAAGTGAAACAACATAGGCAAAATGTTAAGAACATATTAAAATAAGAGAATATAACTTTTCTATTATAAAAGATAAAAT